AATGACCGGACAGGCACAGTACAAGGATGGTTGAAATACGCGGTGACTGTTGAACTCCCCCTCGATCCGAGCACACTCATCCCGGGGTTCTCACCACTTCTGCAGCAGCTCTGGAGTCCTCTTTCCTGAGGGTCTGTAGTTGCGCTGCCCTGGCTGCCTCGATGTCTTGAATTGATTCAAAACGTTTCCCTTTTGGGGTCACTGTGACTTCGGGAAAGAGCTGGAAGTCACCTGGTGCCAGGTCCGGTGAATAAGGTGGAGGAGGACGTGGCATGGGTTTTTGTGAGCTGCCTTTCCATTGGCACTCAGCAGCAGCATTCGCTGTGTTTTTGATCACATAGATGTCGTTATTGTGGGTTATACAGCTATCTGTATGATGACTCAGACCCTGTGGAAACGAAGAAAGTGTTGGAAGCCCGTAACCCTACACCCCAGAGGCTGCCTGTGTTCCTAGGAGTTTGCCTCTGACCTGCAGAGCTGAAGTGAGCTGTGATCTCACTTGGGAAGGACACAGCACGAGCAGCAGCTGCCCACTTGAAGGAACCAGGAGTCCTGCAAATGAACATGTGTGTTGAAGCCACAGTAGATACTGATATGACCCTGAAGGCTGCCTTTCCTGGATCTTCATTTTATCTTTCTGGCATTGGGTGCTCATAGGTAAGGTGTAAGAACCTTCAAATTGTGTACTGTTATTGACAAATGATAATTGTGTATGTGTATGCATACAGTGCGATGCTTTGATACACTTTTATGACATGGAATGATTAAATCAGGCTAATTAAGAAAATCCATCATCTCACAGACTTCTCATTTCTTTCATGTGTGGTGAGAACATTTAAAATCTACTTTCCCAGTAGTTTAACAATGTGCAGCTCATTTGGACTTATTACAGCTGCCTTCTGTGGAGTGGATCACTGGGGTTCATCCTCCTGCTGGTTGAAGGGCTTAGTAATGTCTCTCTTTCCCTTTGTCCCCTCCTGTAGTCTGGTGACCACCCTTACATTCTCTGCTTCCATCAGTTTTGTACGTATAAGCAAGGTCATGTGGCTTTGTCTTTCTGCTTGGTTTATTTCACTTTATGTAATGCCCTCCGGGGTCCTTGATGGGACAGGATCCCCTCTTTTAAGGAGGCAGAGTATTTGAGTATTTACATAGACTCCACCAAAAAATGTGGGAAAAGAAAGACTTGTATAAATATTTTAATACTAAATGATACATTGCGAGATAATACACATTACCTTTGGCCTCTGCAATGACGGAGGTGCTCAAGGTGCTGGCTGTGGATGTCCAGATATTCGTTAGCGGGCGAGCTGCTGCTTGGGGAACGTTGATTCCTGAGATTGCTGCATATGCGCTGTCATTTCCTTCTTTAAGGGCCGGCGGTGCAGTGGGTTTTCTGCGATGTACAACATCCTCGAGGGTAGCACCCTCTGTGGAAGCCATCATACTGTTTTTCCTTTCCTGAAGTGTGTGTACATTTTTTGTCCACCAACAAAGCATATATGCACTTCAGCAGTTCGCTGTGCTGACAGACATATATCATGTTTTCTTGACCCACTCGTCTGCTCTTGGCTTTGGTATGTTCCCCGTGTGACGAGAGCTACGATGAACACAGGAGGGTACGCACAAGAGAAAGAGCTTTGCGGCCGCTGTCCACCCACAGAGCTTGCTCTTTCTGCTCTACTAGGGCTCAGGAGGTGACAGTGTTCTGTTTTTTTCACAGCTTAAGATAAAAGGATGTGTTTGACAGCTTAAAGTGTGTTTGTTTTTTCTTAGAGCTATTTACTCATAACTTCTAAGAATCCAGGGCGTGCGTATTAGGGAGACTGACACCACAGATGGCTGTGAAGCAGGGTCAGTAGGTCGCAGTCAGCTTCTGCCCCCTTCCTGGTGTCCTCTGCTCCGGAAGCACAGCCGGGCTCTGTGTGGTCGGCACAGTGCCAGCATCCAGGGTACACACAGCCAGGCTGGCAGGGAGAGACGTCAATGGGCAGCCCTGCGGCCTGTGAGGGAACTGCTGGTGTGATCAGAAACACAGTGACTGCTGCTGCCAAGCACCATCCAGTGGAAAGGGAGGTGCGTAGAAACACAAGGCTGTGTTTCACCGGATCTTATCCACTGGACCTGGCCCTGTGGGACCTCTGGCTCTTCCCCAAAGTCAAAATGACCACGAAGGGTCAGCATTTTGGGTCCATTCAGGACACGGAGGCATCCAGGACAGCGCAGCTACAGACCCTCAGGAAAGAGGACTCCAGAGCTGCTCCAGAAAGTGGCAAGGACGTGGGATGAATGCGTTCAAAGGGAGGGGAGGATTCTGAGGGGGTTCATGGCAGTGTGTCTTCGACTGTCATAAAAATCTTAAACTTGAAACACTCCCCATGGATCCGACACCCTGCTGTGTGTCTCCCCAGTGATAGGCCTGTTTGTGTCATCTGGGTGGGGACAACTGGTTCCTCACTGGTTCCTCAGTGGGGCGCTGGGGAGCCAGTGGATGGGGCTGGAGGAGGTGGGAGCGAGGTTCACCAGGGCTCTTCCTTGGGCGACTGGCTGCAGATGGATCTGAGAGAAAGGACAGGAGGAGCAGGGTGCGGGCGGGAGGGAAGGAGCCATGGAGTTCGACACGGGCAGGCCGGCACTGTCCAGTTTCCCCCTGACCTGGCACTGACCAGGGCTCTGCAGAGGACAGGCCAGCGGCCACAGGATGGTGTCCAGGACCCCGCCCCATCAGAGTCCCGGTGCTCTGTGGCGGTGGCCATGGCGATTAGCTCCTGTAGACGCATGCACGTCTCCACTTCTCCCATCCCCCGCGGCACCCTTGCCCTGCCCTCTGTGAGGCTAGCCTCTGCTTATCGCCCGGCAGCAGCACGGCAGCCTTAGCTGGGTCTGTCTGTGCCTGCTGGGCCCTCGGAGCTGAGAAGCCACCGTCCCCAAGCGCCCATCAGCGCCACTGTGGCTCCCCAGCCTCCCTGGATAAACCTGGGGCTGTGGTCACTGCACCCCTTTCTCACGGCCTGGACGTCAGGGCCTCAACTGGGGGTTTGTAGACTGAGGACGGGGTCACTGACGACCCTTTCTCTGGTAGAGGTTGACACAATCACTGACCAGAAGTGGGTCTTGTTTGGTTTGTTTTGTTTCTTGTACAGTACTGGGGCTTGAACCCAGGGCCTTTGTGCTGAGCTGCATCCCCAGCCCTTTATACTTTAAGTTTTGAGACAGGGTCTTGCTAAGTTGCTAAGCCCAGACCCCCCCCCCCCCCGCTGGGCTCAACCTTGTGTTCCTCCTGCCTCAGCCTCCTGGGGTGCTGGGGAGGCGGGCGTGGGCCACTGTGGGTGCCTGGACAGAAATGAGCATGGGGCTGTCACCAAGAATAGGCCTGTTGGGTGGGGACAGCAGGGAGCTGTTTTGTTCCTGGGTCTCCTGAGCCACTGTGGGCAGGCACTGTGTCTCCTGGTCACCCCAGTGTCAGGTCTCCCTCCTGGGCAGTCTCGGTCAGGCTGTTAATCCCGGTGGCCTCAGACTCCTTGTAAAAGCTTCTTTGTGCAGCTGGTTCAGTCCCCGCCCCTCCTGCCCGCTTCCTCGCAGGCTGGCTTCCCTTGCTGTCACCACTGGGCATATTTCCTCTGGGTGTGGCCAGGGTTAGGAACTCAGTCTTTAGGAGGTTTGGACTCTGCAGTTCCCGCCTGTGCCCTTGACATTAGGCAGGACTTTGCAGACTCCTGTTGTGCCTCTTGGCCCTTTAGAGCTGCCCTTGCTCCTGCCCTTCCAGCCAACTCTAAGCCAAAGCCAGCCCGGTGCACTCAGATGTGACCAACTTGGGGCCAACAGAAACCATTGCCTTTGATTTGGCTTGGTGGTTGTGTTACTTCCCAAACATACCCTTTAGCAGGCAGTGCCTTTTAGATTCTTCCCCAAGGTCAGGACCTACTTGAGAAGCATGGGGACTCTCGAGCTCGCTACCCGCCCCTGTGCCCCAGGGTGGGGCCTCGGGCCCCACATTTCCTGCAGAGCCTCCCTCTGGGTCTCCAAGAGTGGGCTCTTCGGGTGTCACATTCCAGCCCCGGGGTGAGGAAGACCGGGACTGCGTTCAGCCGCCTGCTGTCCTGTCTGGCTGCGTCGGCCCACCGAGCCACAGGGCCCGCTTTCTCTTCACCGTTCCTGCCTGTCCCTCCTCTTCTCCCCTCCTCTCATGTCCTCTCCCTGGACCCTGGAAAACCACAGATCTCCACACTGTCACTGTTTCAACATTGCTGGGATTGTCAAGAGTTTGCTCCTGTTCGTGGCTGAGTAATATTCCATCATATGGATGTACCAGCATCTATTTACCTTCTCACCTATTAAAGAATGTTTGGGTTGTTTCCAGTTTGTGGCAATTATGGATACATCTTATATGAGAGAAATCATTTCAGTCCTGGTGAATCTCAGCCTGTTTCCTACTTAGGCAGAATCCCCTTTATCCAGTAATAGCTTAGATTATGTCTCTACCAGAAAGAAACTGACCTGTCTCAGCCCCAGGAGGCAGCCGGGATTCGGTTGTCTGTTTAAGTGGCCCTCTGAAGTACTTCTAGGGTGGGATTTTGAGGCTGCCCCGTCTCGTAGGGAAACAGAGGCACAAGCGGTGGGCGGATGGGCCGAGGTCATGGGAGAGGGACTGGCGGCCGTGGGCTGCAGGGCAGCTGTGTGGCGCCCCAGGATGGAGAGCGAGCTCGGGAGGGAGCGGGAGGAGTCGCCAGCTCGCTGGGCTGCGGCGGTTTGAAGCTTTCTAAGGAGACCCCTCAGGTGAACTGCGCTTTGTCCCGGCGGCCGGCGTTGAGCCCCGGTCTCTGTCCTGGTCTGCAGACAGACCAGGCCGAAGACGGGCCGCGCTGTGCCCCCGGCAGCCGGGCCTGGGTGGCCCGGACGCCGCGTGGGGACGTCATCCATCATCCATCGCCGCCCGAGGAGGGCCTGGCTGGGGCGCGGAGCCGCCGATCTCACCCTCACCCTGTCGTCTCTCTCCGCAGTACTACTTCACCGTGCTCTTCGGCCACGAGGGCCAGAAGCCCCTGGAGCTGCGCTGCGAGGAGGAGCAGGACGGCAAGGAGTGGATGGAGGCCATCCACCAGGCCAGGTGGGCGGGGCGGGGCGGGGCGGGGAGGGGCGGGGCTTCCCCACTCCCATCCCAGCCCAATCCCGAAGGAGTGGACGGAGGCCATCCACCAGGCCAGGTGGGCGGGGCGGGGAGGGGCGGGGCCTCCCCAACTCCGATCCCATCCCAGTGCCCGCGGCCTCCTCCTCTGCCAGGTGCGAGGAGTGGACCCAGCCAAGGTGCCAGGGATGGCGTGGGCGACGACAGCATGGGTGTGGCCTTCGCTTTCTGCCTCGCCGCTCCCGGTGGTTCTGTCTACCTTTTCCACACAGGGTCTCTCTGTGTGGCCCAGGCTGGCTTGAACTCTTCGAAGTTCTCCTGCCTCAGCCTCCCAAGTTCTGGGCTTACAGGCGTGCACTACCACACAGGACTGATTCATTTCTGAGTGGAGTGCGTGGCTAATTGTGCACTGGGCGATCAGGAAACACTTCTGGATTGATCATAAGAGAATGAACTTGCTCTGCGTCAGTGCGGACTGTTCCTCGAGTGAGTCTTTCTGTGTCTTCTGCAGGGCTCCCTCCCCATCCTCCGTCCCCTCTCCTAGGCCCATCTGTGGGCCAGGCGGAGTGCTAAGCTCGACACACTCGTCTTTCCTGTTTTGATTTTGCACAGCCATCCCGTTAGGTATCACTAACCCCTTTCTGCAGATGAGGAAATAACTTAAGCCAGTCACGTAGCCTGGCTGAGACCTAACAGTGCTGCAAGCTGCTGAGCTAGATTCGAACCCAGCACCTTTGAGCAGTGCTGCACATTGCTGCTCTCTGTTTTCCTGTCTCCTCTTCGGTCTTATTCTTCTATTTCTTTTTCTCTCCTGTTCAACATGAAAGTGGGTTCGCCTGAGCTCAGAGCTGAGAGCGGAAGATGTCACTTGAGAAGCACTTGCTTCCTTTTCTCCCTCCTCTGCTAGGCCTTTCTCCGAGCTGCTGAGCAGGCGGACTGCTGTCCCACGCAGGGCAGGGACAGCTCCCAGTGCCGCCTCGTCAGGACGCATGTGGAGTGACTCCTGTGCACAGATGACGCTGCTGCAAGCCAGCAGAGGACAGGCCGTCCTGGGCCTCTGCAGAGCCCTCCCTCCTCACTGCCCACACGTTAAGATGAAGGCGTAATTTAAACTGCGTGCTCCCAGAGCAGCAGCTGTCGTCTGTGGCCCCGTGGCTTTGTCCTTGCCGGGCAGGTGTCTCGCCGCACGCAGGTGGCGGGAGCCAGAGGAGGCCGCCCGTGTCCTGGGCCACCGGGCCCTGCCCTAGTGCTCATGCTCCATCTCTTCCCGGGGCCCTGGGGCCGGAGTCCGTGGTCCGTGACATCTGCTTTTCTGTGACTCCAGGCAGAGTGGCTTCTGGGGCTCCTTTGCCTGACTGCTTTCTACTTGGATTCTTACACTGGACTTTTTCTGCATCAAGATCCTCCTGAAATGTTTGCTTTCTACGTCAGGGGAGATAGGGACTTGAATCTCTGAGATTCGCACTGACTTTGTTCTTATGTAACAGAGCCAGAAAGCAAAAGGCACTGAATTAGAGGAATTGCCGCCAGCCGTTTTGCTTGACTTTGTGCTCTTCAAATGCGGTCGGCTCTTGGGGGCTGGCAGACTAAGCCTGTCACGCTCACAACACAGATAGGTGCCATTCATCTGGTGCCACTGCCTTTTTCACAGGAACCTGTGAAATACGCAGTGGTTTTACATTCTTGTGCTTTATCGCTCCTTCTTTTCGAAAGTCTGAGCTTCAGAGGGATGGATAGCTGTTTCAGAATGTGCCAGGTCCCGCTGCAGTCGCTGCACAGAAGCCAGGACGGCCCAGACCTCCCTCCTTTGTCCCTCTTGTTTTTCGGGGTGGGGGTGGTGTTTCCATAGCAACGGGGCATGTGGAGAAAGTCACCTTGTTGGGCCAGCCTTTGCATCTCCAAGCTCTGGGTCATTTTCTTCGGCGTCTACTTGGAGATTCTCTCTTTTAGCGCTGGTACAGAGTAACATGTTTTTGGCCTCGGCACCCTTCAGCGGAGGTCTTGTGTGGAAGAGGAACAGGTGTCTGTCTCCCGGTTTGTATATGTTAAACTATAACGCTGCTTCATCATGCAGTACACCGTCATGTGTGCCAGCAGACACACTCAGTGTGTCCGTCTGGCTGAACATCTTAACTGGGGCTTGTTTTGGGGTAGGGCTCGTATCACAAGCGTCCTTAAAAATCATGCAAGGCCTTACTTCCGGGCTGGGCCCTATTTTCAGGGAGATACTCCATGCGCCCTTAGCAGCAGGGCACCTGAAGCCACAGTCAGAACTGGACTAGTGCATGGGTGATTGGGAGGAGAAACGCTCTCCCCGGCCACCATTTGTGCCTGGGATCCGAGAGCCAAACGGGATGTGACAGGGACTCCGCAGCAGTCGGGGCTCCCCTCACACTGACATCCAGCCCGCCCTGTCCTGGACCAAGCCTGGCGCCCCAGGACCTGGGTTGTGACAGTTGGGGCGCGGGAGGAGGACCCTGGGCCGTCTGGGTGTGCACAGCGTCAGACCAGGATGGCGTCCTGCGATGCTCTTGCCTAGCACGGTCGGTGCACCCACGGAGGAGGAGGAGAGGAGCGGACAGGAGCTAGACGTGGCCAGGGCGGCGACAGTGGCCGAGAAGCTTCTGTGGGGACCGGAAGGGCATGGCTGATGCTGAAAGGGGCGCGGGGCGTGAGGCAGGGCCTGAGGTCGGGAGGGTTTGGGAAGCAGGCAGACGCTGTGAACGCCGCGCCGGGTGCAGGGGGACCAGTGCGAGCCGCGTTGTTCTCCGGGAAACTGGGGCTGGTGCGTCTGGTGTGCACGCCTGGTTCTCCTCCCTCTCCGCGCGTGTCTGGGCTCCCCTGGAGGGTGGAGGGTGGCCAGGGAAAAGGGCAGGGGACTGCTGCTGTCCCACCCTGCCGTTCCAGACAGCCCTGCCCCTGAGCTTGGCGAGGGCCTGGCCCAGCCCTCCCCTTGCCCTGCCAGTCTGCGGCGCGGGGAGCGGACGCACTTAACCCGAAGTGGCCTTGCAGGGAAGCCCCGCCCTCTGCCCCGGAAGACAGACCCGAGCTCTCCGCCAGCCCCTCAGTGTGTATTTAGCGCGAGCCCTTTAGAGCACACGCTCCCCTCCAACACAAGCACTCTCACACGCGTGCACACGCACGGACACGTGCACACGCGCAGGTGCACACCGTGGAGACGGTCGGTCACCAGGCACCTAATGCTGGCAGCTCTCTTTCTCTCGGTTAGAGGCATCACTCAGAGCACGGCACACAGCATAAATCTGCATGTGTGTCTGACCCCAGAGCGGCCCCTCACGGGGGACCCTCAGAGCAGAAAAGAGGGTCACGCAGGAAATTAGAAAATGCTTTATGTGTCACAGCCAAACCACACGACCAGAAAACCGGAAATGGGCAGTGGCGTCAAAGCCTAAGCCAGCGACGGCGAACCTTTTAGGGCTCTGTGATAACAAATAGCCCCTGCACCAGGGCCTAAGCAACCCCAGAGCTGCATCTTGTGTCTCCTCGTAGCAGGAGCGATCGCCTCTTTACACCCAGAAGTGGGCCTGTCCACTTTCCGCGTGCTGTTTCTTTGGGCCGGGGGTCGGCAGAAGGGATGGAAGGTGTTCTTCCCGGAGCCAGCCAAGCCCGGCACAGGCGCGGTGCCGACCCGCAGCGTCTGCTTTGGGGCCTTCGCTGCCCACGAGCCCGGAGACCCCACAGCCCACTTCCCAGCCCTGAACGCCCGCCCACCCGCCCGCTGTGGTTCCTGGTGGTCACCGCCTGAGCCTCTCTCTGACTTCCTGCTCCCTTACGCGTCCCCTCTCCCTGGTGCTTCCACTCTGTTTACTTCTCACTCCTCAGTCTTTTCCCCGCACTCTTAGCATCTGCTAAAAATCCTTCCCGCCTTAAAACAGAAGCCGGGTAAGGTGGCGCATCCCTCTAAGCCCAGCACTCAGCAAGTTGAGGCAGGAGGATCGCCACTACTTTGAGGCCAGCCTGGGCTACATAGCGAGACCCTGTCTCAAAAAACCAAAAATTAACCAATCAACCAACCAATCAATCAGAAAAACTCTCCCTTGGCCTCGAGTCCTCTAACCACTTTCCTCCTCTCCGGTGACGGATTCTTAAACGGCTCAGCCTGTCCTTCCCCAGAGCCAGAAGCTCTTGCTCTTGTGTCAGCCCTCGGCGTGGCCTCCATCCCTACACCCAGAAACTGTGGCCCCTGGGTCAGCAGTGAGCGTCGGAGCGTCCTTTTCCTCGTGTAACTCTTTGCAGCTCATGCTTGCTTTGCAGTCACGCATGTCACACACACAAGCTCTGTAAAGAAGGGGTTTCAGCCAGCATAAGCATGGGGGTCACCACCCACAGATCCACTTCACACCTGGCCTGGTCCAGCCCGGCCTGGCCCGGGTCGTCAAGCCCACTCACCTGCTCCTGGGTGGGGGTAACGGTGCAGGCTTCCGGTTTCCTCTGTGTTCACAGGAGGGAAGGAAGGAAGGAAGGAAGCAAGCAAGGAAGGAAGGAAAAGAGAGAGAGAGAAGTGGTGTAGTAATCACATGCTCTTTATTTACTATTCTTATTATTCTCCATCTTTTTACACCACTTTCAAGGTTTTTGACAACATCAGTGTGCAGAGCCGCGTCTTCCTGGAAGTTCTGGTCGCTCCTCTGTCCCGAGCGCACCCGACCCCCGCTCTGGAGGTGTCCTCTCGCCGCGCCGCTCCCTGCTGCCCTGCTGCTGTCCTCCTGTCTTCCTTGTCCTGCCCTGGCTCCTGCCATCTTTCCCTGGGCGCCCCCCATGCAGTGACCGGGGCTCCACGCTGTGGTTCACCCTGGGGAGGCACCGGCTGGGCCGTAGGTGGCTCGCTGGCTCCCTGCCTGTTGCATCTGAGTCAGAGTGGGGCGCTGACCTCGGGAGCACCAGTCTAGCGATGCAGAGCTGGAGTTCACGTCCTGGCTGGATGGTCTGACCCGAGCAGGCCTGAGCTGCCTGTATCCCCC